ATGGCGGGCTGCGCGGCGCGGGCTCCGCCGGGCTCCGAGGCGCGCCTCAGCCTGGCCACCTTCCTGCTGGGTGCCTCGGTGCTCGCGCTGCCGCTGCTCACGCGCGCCGGCCTGCAGGGCCGCACCGGGCTGGCGCTCTACGTGGCTGGGCTCAACGCGCTGCTGCTGCTGCTCTACCGGCCGCCGCGCTACCAGGTGCGGGCCGGGCGGGGGTGGGCCGGGACCGGGACCGGGACCGGGGCCGGGGCCGGGGCGAGGGCGGGACCCGGGTGGGTTGGGTACAGCGCGCGGGCTCCGTCCCCCTCGGGGTCGGGGTGGGCCGGGAGCTGGGCCTGTGGGAGGGACCGCCTCCCCCGGGCGTGTTCTTTCTCCGGAAGTTCAGTTGGCAGGAGGGCCCCCGCCTCACTAGGCTGGGGGGGGGGGGGGGGGGCGGGGCGTGGGTCGCGGGCCCTCTCTCTCCCGCGGAGTGGGTGGGAAGTTGCAGTTGGTGCGGTTCAGCAGCTGCGCTTGGCGTGGGGAGGAAGCGGGCCCACGAGTTCTTTTATGTCATTTAAGTTGTGGAGACACACTTAACCTGCCGCCAAGTCAGGTCAGAAGCCTCCGCAGTGTTACTCGGAGGGGGTTGGGCACAGAGCCCCGCACGTCCCCGACTAGACTTAACTGCGTGGACTTGGGAGAGTGGCCAGTAAACGAGGTTCATGCGGTGTTCCCACTGCTCTGAATCCTAATAGCAGTAATAATAGCAATGGTAGCTCGAACTTACAGCACTCTTAAGTGCTTTATGCGGGTACTCTTCACAGCAGTCCTAGAAAGTAGGTACCATTGTTGTCCCCGTTGTGTATAGGGGGGAAACGGAGGTCCAGAGAGGTTAAGTAACTTGTCCAAGGCCACACAACCAGAGAGGGGTGGATGCGGGATTTGAACCCCAGGCACGTCTGCCTTACCTAACTCTTAGTCTCTGACCAGATCAGCTCTAAGTGTTTCCCAGTAGCCTACTTGTCCCAAGGAAGTGGGGTGTGTGCTCTTGCAGCCCGGATGTGTGCTCAGGGAACAGCCCGGTGACTGAGCTTCTTTTGGGTCCATTTCAGATAGCCATCCGAGCTTGCTTCCTTGGCTTTGTGTTCGGCTGCGGCATGTTGCTAAGTTTTAGCCAGTCTTCTTGGAGTCACTTTGGCTGGTAAGATGTATTTGGGGGAAGAGTGGTTTTGAGGCGAGGGTGGGAGGATCAGAGGGTCAGAAGTGGTATATCCTCATCTCTGTGTCTCCTCTCTGACTGGCTGAAGGCAGTTGAGGATTCTGTACGGTCTCTGATGTCCAGCTAGATCCCTATGTCTCGGACGTCGAGAACTTGTGCCCATCGGTCGCTTCTGTTGCAGGCAGAAACAGGTCTCCCTGGCACCCTCCATAGGCGCCTTCATCAGTAATGTGACGAGCCCTTCCCAGAAGAGGGTACAGGTCCTCAGTGACAGGAAGGGGCAAGGCTCTGGCTCATCTTCACAGGCCTTTTCCGTCTCTAATTTCTATTAGGTCACATCTAGCGCCTCCCCCACGGCCACTGTAGGATTTTCCCCTACACTATGATTTCATTCCCTTGAGCCTTCTAGTCCCTGACCTGGATATGAACCAGTGGCTTCAAGGTAAAAGGCTTTATCTCCCGTTATCAGTTCTCTAAGCCATCTAATCCTTCTTTGCTGGAGTTATTTGTTTTGCTGAATTTTTTGTATTCAACATACATCACTGCTTTGTTTTGACTGTGTTCCACTTTCATATTTTACTGTGTGTGGTATCCTTTCTAAAAGACTGAAGGGCCCATAATGCCTTCATGACCCTAGTCTGTTTGTGGGGTCTGTAACATTCAAAAGTAGTCTTTTCAAAGCCCCACCTTCTGCAGACCCGAAGAGTAATGTTACATGTGGGTGCCTGATGTCCACTCTCAGGTAGGTGACAGCAGGACCTCCTCAGAGAATTCAGGGACAGTTTGGCAGACCCAGACCTGCACTTGGACTTACGGCCAACTTGATTCCCTTGCCCCAACTTACCTCTCTTTCTTTTTGTTTTTAAATAGGTATATGTGCTCCTTGTCACTATTCCATTATTCTGAATATTTGGTCACAGCAGTCAATAACCCCAAAAGTCTGTCCTTGGATTCCTTTCTCCTGAATCACAGTCTGGAGTACACAGTAGCCGCTCTTTCTTCTTGGATAGAGTTCACACTCGAAAATATCTTTTGGCCAGGTCAGTGTGTCCCACGTTTCCCTCTGGAGGGGAGAAGGGTGGCTTCTGTGCAGGCCTGAGGGTGGTGACGTGGGCTCGCCTCCCAGGTGTAATCTCCCCGAGTGACTTTCCCCAGCTCTCCATCCTCACTAAGCTCTTTATAAAGGACAAGCACAGCTTGTGGGTTCCGCTTCCGGATTTTGAACGGAGGACATGTTGACCGTTTGCTTTAAGCCTTCCACGACGTACCGCACTACCTCATGTGAAGTCCCGACCTTCGATAGCTATAATTCTAATTTTACAGTCAGAGATTTGCATCTGTTCATTTTCTGTGACTTGAGACTTTTCGTGTCAAGATGTTATTAGCAAAAACCTCTGCACCTGAAACCTACTCTCAAATGGAACTTTCCACAGCAAATTAAGTAAAACATATGTGGTTCCCAGGATTTGGTAAAGGGCCAGAATGGGAAACATTGGATCCCTCTCTGCTTCACTTAGCTGTCCTTGTCCCCAAGGGAAGGAGGGGCATGTGACAGAGGGACACGGATGGAGAGCTCATCAGGTCTTTGCCATGATGCTCTAATTGGGTTGTTGGCACTTGAAGCAAATGAACAGCACAACTTAGGGGAATGTGTTTTGCTTATAATTAAATTTTAATGTGATGACAAATGCTAATTGCCCACTAGCATGTTTCCTAATGTTGCTGGCCTTGGAGAAATAGGTTCATTTTAAGCATCTGCAGGGGGAGCTCCATGGGCCCATGTCTTCACTTCCTGTGTGTCACACGTCTCTCCTCCAGAACTGAAGCAGATCACCTGGCTCAGTGCCTTGGGGTTGCTGATGGTGGTCTTTGGAGAATGTCTGAGGAAAGCGGCCATGTTCACAGCTGGTTCCAATTTCAATCACGTGGTGCAGAATGAAAAATCAGAGACTCATACCCTGGTGACAAGCGGAGTGTATGCTTGGTTTCGGCATCCTTCTTACGTCGGGTGGTTTTACTGGAGCATTGGAACCCAGGTACAATATCAGAAATGACAGTGGTCGCCTTGGATGTTTTTTACATTTTAAAAAATCTAACACCATAAGATGTACCATTTTGAAAGGTACAGTTCATTGGATCTGCAAGGTTATTGGTCTCCTTCAAATAGGTGCACGTGCCCTCTGTTGTGTTTCAGGTGGTAATGAAATAAAACCCAAAAGAATGGATTTAGTCCTTAACGGTTTTTGGGGTTTTTTTTTTTTTGTTTTTTGTTATTTTGTTTGTTTGTTTTCACTGTGTACCTAAAATCTGGGTGTCCTAAACTTGTAAACTGCTGGCGATTCTAGGTGCTGTGACCCCATCTGCCCTACCCCTTCCCTGCTTCTTCACCTTAGATCTGGAGCGCCCTTGTGGGATGAGAACAGAGATGGGGCTTCAGGGAGAGAGAGAGCCTTCTGCTGCTCAAGTGGATTCTGATTTTCATCAGAAGCTGCTCTGGTTGAGGCCTGGGTCGTGTATTAGGTTTAACGTGAGCTACCGAGGTTGGCTGTGTCTCGGGTTGCAGACTGAGCCTTGCTTCCTGACCGTTGCCTCTTGAATCTGTTTTCTTGGTCCTAGAAAGACTTGGCCAGAGAATGTGAACAGAGCTCAGGAAACTCCTCATTTCCTTGAGAAAATCCATTCTGGGCCCCCAAGCATTCCATTGGCAATACATGGATGGTCCTTTGGGGACTCCCTGTGAACCCCCCACCCCCCCCACCCATGGTGTAGAAGGGGCAGGTTACCACACAGGATTTCTTTTCTCTTTTCTTTTTTCTTTTCTTTTCTTTTCTTTTTTCTTTTCTTTTCTTTTCTTTTCTTTTCTCTTTTCTTTTCTTTTCTTTTCTTTTCTTTTCTTTTCTTTTCCTCTTTCCTTTTTTCTCTTTTCTTTTCATTTATTTTTTTAAAGTTTGTTTTGAGAGAGACCACGCATGAGCATGAGTGGGGAGGGGCTGGGAGCCAGGGAGAGAGAATCCAAAGCAGACTCCACCCTATCAGCACACAGCCTGACTCGGGGCTCAGTCTCACGAATGGTGAGTTCATGACCTGAGCCAAAATTGAGTCGGACGCTTAACTGACTGAGCCACCCAGGCGCCCCAGGATTTATTTTAAAACTTTCATTTCTGAAACTTAAGACTGCTGCATTAACGATCATACTCCCTGGGAACAAGTTGATTATAGTTGAATCGTGTAATTTACCATAAATGCTACCTATGTATTTAAGTGCTCTACGGGGCGCCTGGGTGGCGCAGTCGGTTAAGCGTCCGACTTCAGCCAGGTCACGATCTCGCGGTCCGTGAGTTCGAGCCCCGCGTCAGGCTCTGGGCTGATGGCTCAGAACCTGGAGCCTGTTTCCGATTC